ACGGCCGAGGTTCTGTGTTCCGAGATGTCTACATTGACATTTCACCGTATTATAACACATATTCCTTGTGCCCAGTTCACCAAGTGATCCAGATTGCTCTGAATCAATGACCTGCCCTTTCCATTATTTGCCACTCCCCGAATCTTTGGTTTCAGAGTAACAGCCGTGTTAGTCTGTATTCGCAAAAAGAAAAGGAGTACTTGTGGCACCTTAGAGACTAACCAATTTATTTGAGCGTAAGCTTTCGTGAGCTACAGCTCACTTCATCAGATGCATGCAGTTTCCACAGTATGCATCCGATGAAGTGAGCTGTAGCTCACGAAAGCTTATGCTCAAATAAATTGGTTAGTCTCTAAGGTGCCACAAGTACTCCTTTTCTTTCCCCGAATCTTGTATCCTCTGCAAACTTTATCAGTGATGATTTTATGTTTTCTCCCAGCTCATTGATAAAAATGTTAAATAGCAAAGGGCCAAGAACGAATCCCTGCGGGGCCCCCTGGAAACTCAACCACTTAATGCTGAATCCCTAGTTACAGTTACACTTTGAAACCTATCAACTAATCCATTTATTAATCCATTGAACCTGTGCCGTGTTAATTTCCTGGCCTTCTAGTTCTTTCATCAGAATGTCGATTTTAATGCAGATCATTCATTCCAGGCGGGGCCGGGGGCAGGGCTCTGTTTGTTGCTGAGGGAGAGGCAGCTGCTAACGCTGGCTCTGCTCAGCATATCAGGGGTTCGGCGTCCTGGGTCAGACAAACTTGCAGACCCTACCAACCAGTGCTGCCTCCATTGTGATCTGGGAGCCCGGGCTGAGCCGCTGCTGCTCCCTAGAGGGGTCTGTGCGGGGACAGACCTGCATTAACCTCCCTCTGTGCGCAGCTGGGAGTGGACTTTCTCTGGTAGCTGAACCCAGCCCATGGGGCAGCCCCAGGCTCTGCAGACACTAGCTCCCGAGCAGGAGCCTGCAGGTGAGGGGAGAGACCTGCGGGAAAGGGCCGGGGATGGGCGTAAAGCGCTGGGAGCTCTCTGGGTGACAAAGCTCTGGCTAAGGGCGCAGGGAGATCAGTCTCGGCTGCCTCTGCCCCTAGGGCAGGGCTCTGGGCTGAGCCTGACCCACTGCACAAGGACTGAGGGGTGAAAGTCCCAAACTGGAAGAGCTAAAGAGAGGCAGGGGAGGGGCAGGAGGGTTGGTTTAGTGGCTTCCCATTGAAAACAGACACCCCCAAAAATTCAGGGACAACAGAGGCAAATTGTGCACCTCTGGCCCCCCAAATGTGGGAATCCCCTGCGAGGCTTTTGTGTGCACACAGCTGCCATCTGCACATTCAGGTGGTGGGAGGGTGGGGGAGAGGAGAGGAATGCATGGAAAATAATTGTCAGAATAAATTCAAATTCAAAGGATGATTTGGGACAAAAGGGCAATTGAAATGAATTTTTCCAGCAGGAGAGAGTCTAGAGCAGTAGTTCTCAAACTTTTGTACTGGGGACCCCTTTCACATAGAAAGCCTCTGAGTGCGACCCCCCCCTTATAATTTTTTTATATATTTAACACAATTATAAATGCTGGAGGCAAAGTGGGGTTTGGGGTGGAGGCTGACAGCTCGTGACCCCCTATGTAATACCCTCATGACCCCCTGAGGGGTCCCAACCCCCTGTTTGAGAACCCCGGTGGGTCTGTGAACCACCCTCCCCACATCCCCAGCACCTTCCTCAGTCTGCTTCCCCCCCGCCCCCACAAAAACATCCCCCTGCACCCTTTTCATTATGCCTCCCGTATCTCCTGTCTCCTGCCAATCCCATCTCACGTCCCCCGGGAACCCTTCCAGCTACCTCCTGACAGTCTCCTCAACACCCAAATCCCTGTGCGCCTTCCTCCATCTGCCTCTCCATCCCCCATGCATCCCCCCATCCAACCCTCATCTGCTCCCATCCCCCCACAAGCACATCCCTCTGTGCCCTCCTTTGTCTGTCTCCCCCACCCCATGCAACTCCTGTCCAGTCTTTGGCATACCTCCCACTTCCACCCCCAAATCTTCCTGCACCCTCCTCGGTATGCCTCCTAGCTGCTGTTGCAGATCCACAAGATTGGTGCTACACACCCAGCTTTTTAACAGTCCCTTGGAGGTTCCCCTTCAGTGGGCGAGACCCCCCTACAGGTCCAATTCTTCTGCAAGCGGAGGCCACATGGCCTCACTGCCTCCAAGACCAAGCCTCTGGGCTCCAGCCCTGGTGCTTCACACCGTCCAACTGAGCCAGACTCCTGGTCAGAGACCTGCCCACTCTGCAGGGCCCAGGATTCGCAGTGACACCCAGCAGCCTTTTCCAAACAGAGCAGGGTTTATTAGTCAGCTCAGACCCAGCACGGGGAAGCCCTGAGATTAGCAAAGAGAAGGAAGCATTAAGGTTAAGCCAGAGCCCATCCTGGCCAAGCCAACCAAGTTCTTCTCCCCCCGGAATGTTCCAATTCTGGATCACACCTTATTAGACATCAGAGATCTCACACAGGAGAGACCCCCCCCCCTATAACTGCCCTGAGTGTGGGAAACAATTCAATGACCACTCCAACCTTATTAGACATCAACAAACCCACACAGGAGAGAAACCCTATAAGTGCGCTGATTGCAGGGACAGCTCAGGCTTTGTTGCATATCACAGGATCCACACAGGAAAGAAATGCCATAAATGCCCGGACTGTGGAGAAACCTTCGCTCAGCGCTCACATGTGACTAGACATCAGAGGATTCACACGAGTGAGAGACCCTAAGGATGCCCCGATTGTGGAGAAAGCTTCTCTTGCACCTCTGACCTTATTGTACATCAGAGAGTCCATACGGGAGAGAAACCCTATAGCTGCCCTGACTGTGGGAAAAGCTTCAGCCAGAGCCCTAACCTTATTGTCCACTGGAGAATCCACACAGGCGAGAGACCCTATAACTGCCCTGACTGCAGGAAAAGCTTCAGTCGTAAATCTAACCTCATTAGACATAAGAGAATGCACACGGGCGAGTGCCCCTATGAATGTTCCGTGTGTGGGAAAAGGTACAAGGCCAAGATCTCTCTGATATTTCACCTGAAACACCACATAGACTAGTGCCAGCCACTTTCCCACCTCTTCCTGTGTCCGTTCCTCCCATCACTACAATGGGGATAACAACAGTTGCCCAACTCCCAAGGGAGTCAAGTGGCACCACTATTTACGTGTGTTCTCAGTGGCTCAGGATGACGGAGGCACCAGGAGAGTGACTTTATTATTACTACTGTATTATATTATTCTCTGACCCTCTCCCATCCCTTCCTGGCTCTCTGTCATGAAGAGGCTTTTACTGAGCTGAAGGGTTTATCTGGATTTCCTGGTCCCTGTTTTCAGGCAGGGGCTCGGTTCACATTGTTGCACACTGGGATTATTCCTTAAATTGCTACCCCAGGAAACGTTTTCTTTCTGTTTCTTCAGGAGTGTGTGTGTGTGTAAGTTTCTGGAAAATCAGGTGTCAATGGAGTCTTTATTATTCATTGAATTATTTTCTCAATATTGCTCAGTTGTTGGGGTTTTCCCCCCACAAATAAGTTATTTACATTTCTGGAAAATCCCATTTTCCTGGGCAGCCTGGGAATGTCATTGGTTCTTGAGCTCTGGGAGGGAGAGAGGCCAAGTGTCCCAGACTGGGTGAGTTGTCTCCCTCTGAAGAAATCACTCATTACCCCATATTCCGTCCTTTCACTAATTTCTCTGCCCATCCAGCTTTGGAAGCTGGAGCATAGGCACATCTATGTCTTTGCTTTTGCAGCTTTGACGGCCTCTGGGCTCTATCCTTGGGTCTTCCCTTCCCCTCTACAAGTGGTTTAATGGGAGCAGGAGAGAAACATCCTCAGAGGCAGAATCCAGGAGCCCTGGCTGGGTGTGATCCCCAGAGGACACCCACAGCTAGAGATGATGGATAGAGGGACATTTCCAGAGGGGGAGCAGCCCGTCTCCTTCTCCCCAGCAGCATCTCCAGCATCTGTCCCATCTGCTCTGTGCCCAGCTCAGTGAGGAATCCGGTGACTCCAGGGCAGAATTGTAACATTTCCCGTGGGCATAGAGCAGCTGCAGGGCTCTCAGAGCCCCTGGCCAGACTCCATCCCAGGTGTTTGCTTTCCATCGGCTGCCTGGATCCTACCCCCACTTCCCTGGGAATGTCTGTGATGCTGTAGCTCTCTGTTGTGGTGCCTGAATCTCTGTCTCGGGGAGAATCCCTGGTTCCCCGACACTCTGCTGTCCTGTTCTCTCTCCTCCCCCTTGGCTCTGTTACACCATGGAGCCATCGACCCTCAACGCTAGGGTTCTGATCACAACTCCAGCCCTGGACCTGTCCTAGAGGGCAGTGAACAAATGCAGCCACCAGCCAGAACATCCCATGTGTTTGCTACTATCTGAAACAACCAGCCCTGATGTCTCAGTGCAGGTGTTCATAAAAGCCCTGGGGCATTATCTGTGCTGGAGAGAACCAGACCAGCCCCACCGGGGATGGGGAACAGCTCTGGAAGGCCATGGGGCGTAAGGCCCTGGAGTTGGAAAAGCCAACGGGAGTTGGGGAAGGCCATAGAGGCAAATCATCCCTATGGTCCTGGAGAGGCTGGGACTAACTGTGTGAAAGTGGGAGGATGTGTGAGTGGGAGCAATCGACCCAGGAGTTTGCCAAGTGATTCTCAGGGCTGTGTAGGCAGAGGTGTATCCATATCGTGGAGCAGGGAGGGGAGAGTCACTTTCTGCAGAGTTCTGGAGACACCACTGTGGGAACCTGGACCCAGCTTACAGCAGTATAAGTTTATTACCCAGTCCGCCCCTCCCTCAATGTGGAGAGGACATGAACCAGCTTTTGTAAACTGAGTGAAGGTTTCCCAAGCACTTCAAGCAAAACACACTGTTTTAGGTAAAGTATAAAACAGATTTATTAGCTACAGATGGATAGATTTAAAGTGATTATAAATGGCAGGCATAAAAGGTCAGAGATACTTACCAAAGAAAATACACAATCCTTATTACACTAGGCAGGCAGCATTTAGATCAAGCAATTTTCTCAGCCCACTGGATGTTACAGTTCACAATACACAGGCTTCCCTCTTAAACCTAGATCAGTCTCCTCAGGTGAAGTTGTCATCTTCTCAGCGTTCCTGTTGCTACCAGCATAAGTGGGGGAAGAGAAAGGCCAAGACATGACGCCGCTGTCCCTCATTTTATACCCTCAGTCCATGTGACTAGAAGACATCTGCCCAGACCTGTCCCAATGAGCTTTGCTGAGTCACAGTGATCCCATGCCTGGTGGACTTTGCTGAGTCACAATGATCGAGTAAACTCCCATTGTGCGAACTCATGCAACTGAGCCATAGAGTTGATTACTGGTTGGTTAACACCCACCTGGCAGTAGAGATTCTCAAACTTACACCATATTTCAGTACCAACCATACAGCAAAATCTCATTACTTCACATACCACGAGAGCACAGACAAGCCAACAGGATATTAGTGTTTGCCAGATCAAGATTTTCAAAATGCCTTGCTCAAGTCTGGGGGAGATGATGAATGCTGGGGTCACCCAAGCAGTAGGAACCTCAGAACTTGTGAGCTCTGATCACACAAGAGAGAGAGAACGAGTCAGTTCACTAATCTCTGAACAGTGAAGATCAGGGCCAGGAGGAGGAGCTGGGAGGTAGAAGTGGGAGAGGTCTAGTTGACATAAGGAAGAGAGAGAATTAGTGGCATAAGGAAGAGATAGCAGTAGAGCTTCTCAAACTTACAACATATTTCAGTAACAACAATATAGAATATCTCATAACTTCGCATACCATGAGAGCACAGATAAGCCAACAACATATTAGTGTTTGCCAGATCAAGACTTTCAAAATGATACCTCACAAGGCATACTGTGCTTCCCGCAGTGAGTCTGCCCAGGTGGGGCTCCTGGGGAAGCCAGAGGGCCCTGTACCCCAACTCCGCAGTCAGACGTGACTCTCAGCCAGCCGATAAAACAAGGTTTATTAGTCCACAGGAACACAGTGTAGAACAGAGCTTGCTATCACAGAAATCAGTGACTTTCAGCCAATTCCATCTTGGGAGTCCTAGGCTAGACACCATGGATTCCCCCTCTTCCAGTCCCCCCACCCAGACTGTCCGCTTCCAGCTACATGACCTCCAACACCCCCCTGTTGCTCCTCCTCTTTCCCTTTGTCTCACTTCCCAGGCGAAAGGTGTCACCTGGTCGCACCCCCGTCCTGGGTCTCAGGTTACATATGTGCAGACAGCTTGGGCAGCCTCACCTGCCCCGAGGGCCTCAGCAAAAATCACACACCCAATTCCCACCACCGAAGTATTGGTGCAGTACACTGGGAAACTGAGGTACACACAATATTGGTATAGGACAGTAAGACTCACATGCAACAAAACAAGATGAATAAAACCCCACTTTGTCACAGATGCACGGCCAGGTTCAAGCCAAGATGGGTGGGAGCCAGGAGTGATGTCGGCCAGGAGGATGCTCCTGGCCTGGGTGAGATGAGGCAGAACTGAGGGAGCTCAATCCCAGCAGGTTACGCCAACGACAAATGGTTTCTGCACCTATTTAACCAATTCCTCACCTGCATGGCTACTTCTCAGGAGCTCCTTTCCCTCGACAACCTCACGATTGGGGATCCGCAGCTCTTCGCCCTGTTCCAGCCAGGAGATGACGTCAGGTTTGGGTGTTGCGAAGTCAGTTCCATGGAAAGGAACTAGGCAAGACCATGATTTCAGTTATTCAGAGACAGAGCTGTTTCCAGCAGCCTTGGGCAGGTGGGTACCCTTGTGGAAACTAAACGGATGGGGAAGTGTCCCTGGAGACCCTTTAGGGGAGACTAGATTACTCCTGGAAGATGTAAAATTCCCCCTGGAGGAGACTCAGGGATCTCCCCACTGAGGTATGACTCTGTGCAACTTCTGACCCCTTCTAAGCCTACTGAGCCCAGAGCCCTTTGCAGGCACGGAGCAAGTCCTGGGAAGGGAGGGACACGTGAAATCTCTTTGTGTGTCGCTGTATGCCCATGTTTAATAGTACAGGGAGGTACATACAACCCATCCTCTCCTATGGAAGCTCTGGGGAGGAGGATGGACTAGCGTCTCTGTGGTGTTTCCCAATCTCCTTTCCCATGGGAGGGGGTGTGGAGGTCACAGTCTCTCTCACGTGAGTTATGGAGGCCCTGGGCCTGAGGAGAGCAAAAGGCGACCCAGGAGTGCCAGAGAGCCCCCCAACTTCTAACACCTGAGGGGACAGGAATCCTTACCCTGCGAGGTCACAGATTCATAATTCTTCTGCATGATGTCCCTGTGGAGGGCTCTCTGACAGGGGTCCAGCAGAGCCCACTCCTCCTCGGTGAAGTACACAGCCACCTCCTCAAAGGTCACCAGCCCCTGAAACAGCCAGAGTCCCCCTCTCAGAACCTGCTGCCCCCGTCACAGTCCCAACAGCTCAGCCACAGGCAGGGCTGGAAAATCCCCCTCTCCACAGAGAACAGGGAACTTTCCTGGGGAGGGGAAAACATTTCTCAAAGCTTTCATGAAAAACACGGTTTCTGTGGTGAAACCGCGATGACCGGAGCAGCTGACTCCCCTGATTTTATCTTGAGTCTCATGATATTTACCTGGAATATTTAAAATTTCCCCATGACCTCACAATTTCTGGGACTGAACTTTCCCATTTCCCCTTGCTCAACATGGCTGCCCTCTCCCATTACTTTCAGGGGGTCGGACTCAAACTGCCCATATTCAAGATGGCCACCATTTCCTTATGGGCTGTGGAAGTGAGGCTGCCCTTATTGAAGATGGCTACCAACTCCTGTTCTTTTCACTGAGGCCACAGGCATACTCTCTTCCGGTTATACGGCTAAGGCTCTGTGCTGAGGAGACTGGATCAGACAGTTTAACTGGAAAAGGATATGTGGAGAGCTATTGTGTGGATGATAAGGTGCAAAGAGATATGTGGGGGGCCAGAGGAAGGGGGCCAGAGAAAGGCTGAGCAGGATTCAGGGGGATCTGTGGGTCCCAGAGAGAGCTGAGAGGGTGCAGGGGAATAGGGAGTGTTGGTTGCAGATCTGAGAGGTCGGAGACTATAAACAAAAATACAGAAAAATATAGGGGCAGGTGGGCAGAAGAGACTGTGGGGAACATGGTGGAGGGGGGTAGCTGGGGAGAGGGGAGCCAGGGTAGGATAAAGGAGGAGGGTGGGAGGGACAGAACTGCCAAACCCCTCTCCCTCCATTCCTTCCACTTTACCCATCCCCATAAGTGTGTGCCCTGTGTGTTCCTACAATGGTGACATTCCCCACTCACCAAAGGACACTGTACATTCCTTTCTACTAGCCTGGTCTTTATTCTCGGGCAAAACCCCTTCATTAATGCAGCGCTAAGGCTGCTTGGTGGTACATCCTGCTCTTCCTGACTGGCCAGCTTAGCAAAACTCAAACGTGAAAACCAGGAGATACAGAATGAAGATCTATATCCACACATCCTTCACTCTGCCCTCTTTGAGCGATGCCCCATTGTGCCCATAACACCTCTGCTCATAAACTCACAGCCCATACTCAGCTCCCACCTACCTGCCTACGATCCACTGGCAAGCAGACCCTGTGCCCCATTACTATCACAGCACTGAAATGAGGCATGCTGGATCTCTTCCTTTGACCATGCACACCGGGTTCAGGGAGAGAGGCTCACACATATTCCTGCCCCAGAGAGGCACAGTCTTCCCAGATCACCTCATATCACAATCACAGCTTTATCAAGCTGCTCCATTTAATCTTCCACCATTTAGTACATATACATCTAGCACAGTGAAATGTAGCTGGAGTGCGAGTAGATAATTCCCAGTGGCTATTACCAGCGCCAGGGGGCAGAGTTAAGGTTACATGGGCATGTAACTTAACTGTATTTCCTGGTTTTCAGAAGTTTGTGTTGCTGAACTCAACATTCTGGACCCGAGATACCACCAGGCAACCTGAACCCACCAGGAGCTTTCAGAGAATCTCCTACCTGAGCCGGTTCCATTGCAGATGTTTCTTTTCCCTGTCCCCTGGAGGATGGGACAATCTGGATCAAAACAGTGACATTATTCTGCAGCCTGTCAGGGCAATTGGGGAAGATTCAGAAGGGCTGTTAGTCCATCTCATACCACAATTCCCAACTCCTATGTCCATCCCCGTCTCATTGCTGTCACATCAAATACTCTGAAACCCTCTGCAATGAGACAAGCACAGTGACACTAGCTGGTCACAGTCACTAAAGCCAACAGTTTCCTGACCTCTCCCACCATGTACTCATTCCCAGCCCTGAAAACAAGGACAGGGGAAGTTGAGGCCTCCTAGACCTTACACGGCACAGTTAATAACCCTACCCCCCCTCACCAGCAAACATCTGTTTGCATTGATGTGAAAGGGAAACATCTGGATTCTCATGCATGTGGGGAAAGTGGATCATTTGGAAATTTTAACCCCTCCCTCCTGTCTGGCTCCCCAAATTGGGCAAAGGAACCAGGGCAGTTGCTTTCCCTTCAAACCCAGCAGTTCCAGCCACTTAAAGGAGGGAGGGTGAGAGTGGGAAGAAAATGTAAGGGTCTTTTTCTATAAATATTCAATAATCGGAGAGATGAAAGGAAATTCAGAATATTTTGAACAATTAGAGGAAAAAATGGGCAAGTTCTGATAGGATTTTATAGAGATATTTGATAAACAGAAGGAAGAAGGGGCAAATCTGAGGGGATTTTATATCAATATTCAATAAAAACTGCTGGTTGTCCTGGCCTTGACATGGGCAGCAGGGAACCCTGGGCAATGCCACGTTAACAGGGGCAGGGAGGGGAGATGGCGCCGGAAGGTCCCATGGCAGTTGGGAGAGGGAAGCAGTGGGGGAAGGACAGGTGATTGGCAACTGGTGGTTGGGGGGCTGGGTTTGGCTGGGGGTCACTAGCTGGGATAGGGCAAACTGGGGAGTCTCAATGGGGGACATGGCTCTTCCCTCTGTACAGGATTCTGTATGATATTTAATAACTAGAGGGGAAAGGAGCAAAATCAGAGGCGATTTTATTTCAAAATGCAAGAATTAAGGAGAAAAAAGCAAAATCTGCAGCTGGAGTTCCTCAAAGGTGACTTGAAGAGGAAAGAATGAATGGGCTCTGTGTCCTTTGTTTTTTTGTAACAGGCTTTTTTCCTACCCTAAAAAAATGAATTTGTTTCATTTTTGACTTCCAAAAATGTCATCTCCTCTCCGTTATTGCTGTGGGGTGGTTGGTTGGCTCCCAGGTGTTTCGGGAGCTTTGTTCCATTCTCGGTGAAGATGGAAGTGCTGAATCTTGAACCTTCAAGCATAAGAGGTTTAACATGTTACAAAAGCAAACCATTTAAAAAAAAATGCTTAAACTGACTGAATAAAATGATTAAAAATTCACATCCCTTCTTCTTCCTCAGAATTAAAAACAAAAACAAACAAACAAAAAAACCTCCTAGGCCTTTTTAATTGATCATAAAGGAGCAAAAATTGACGCAAAACTAATTATTTCATCTTCTTCAGGTCACCTTTAAAAATTCTGACAGCACCATCCTCATAATCTCACGTCCTAATTCAAACTACAGCTCAGTTCCTGTTCGGGCTAAAGGCAGCAGGATGTGTTTGATAAAGTCCTAATCACACCTTTCTGCCAGTAGGGAACTATATTAATAAATAAAACTTTGATGGGAGGCATGCTCACACAGGCATGTGGAATTCCAGAGTCACAGACTTTAAGATCAGAAGTACCACAATCATCTAGACTGACCCCCTGCGTAACATAGGCCAGAGAGTTTGCCCCCGTAGTTCCTGGCTTAAACACATAGCTTCTCATTGAGCTCAGCTGTGGTTCTCAACCTATCTATCATTGTAGGCTGCATATATGGCCCACAATGTGTTGTGTGGGCTGCATCCAATACTACCTGAATGGCCCTGAGGATGTCACATGGGCCACAGCCATGTGCTGACTGGGCTGCAAGTGGCCTGTGGGCTGCAGGTTGAGCAAATCTGTTCAAAAGCCTCCACTCCTGGTTTAAACACTTCCAGTGAAGAAGAATACAATGCGCCCCATTTCAGATTAAATTTGGCAGGCCTTTTCTCCCCAGCAAACCAGAATTATTTTAAAGCTTTCCTGGAGCCCCCCCAAAAGTGCTAAATAGAAACTCATGGTTTTTAACAATAAACAGGGTTTCTTGAAACACAAAATAGTCCCCCAGTGCTGACTAATAAGAAGCCAGTCCCTGATTGCAGCTAGAGCTCTTTCTAGTGAGCAGTCATTTTCACAAAGATCAGGAAAATCACCCAGAGCCCCCATCCTTCCAAGGTATCATTTCAGAGGCTGTGCCATGTTTGGCAAAGAAGGAGGTGTGGGTGGAAATGTTCAGACAGATCCACCCAGTCTAACCCCCCTGGGCTCATCCCTGAGGGGATGGGTAAAGTGGGGAGACTTTTAAAACTCTAAATTCCCCCCCCCCATACACACACTCTCCTGTGCCCCCAGCTCTGCTCCTTTACTCCCCGAACTGGGCGAAGCTGGGTAAATCTGCCACTTTTCATGATGTCTCCTACTTCTCTCCCTTTCATCTTACTTTTTGCCCTTAACCGTCCTGACAGCTCCCCCCAGACCTATGAAGGGGAATCCCCACTGAGGTAGATTGAGATTCCCAGGGGGGCTGCGAGATCTGAGCCTCCCTGTGCAGAGTCACTTTCCTGCCCTTTCCCCCGGGTCTCTCCCCTCACCTGCAGGCTCAGTCTCAGGGGCTGGTGTCGGCAGAGCCGACCCCCGCAGAAAGTCCCTCCCTCCCGGGGCTGGGCACGGAGGGGGCTTGAACGGACCCAGCTGCGGAGCAACAGCGGCTCAGCCCCGGCTCCCAGTTCACAATGGAGGGAGGCAGCAGCAGCAGCGTCTGACCGAGGAAGCTCAACCCCTGATATCCTGAGCAGAGAGAGCAAAGCAGCCTCCTTCCCCTGTGCCCCAGGAGTCAGCGGGACCGGCCCCAGCTTGGTGACAGCTGCCCAGAAACTCTGAAGGGGGCTGGGGGCTGCTCTGACTATTCAGCGCAGCAGGGGCTGAATGTGATTTATTGCTGCTGCTTCTCCTGTGCCGAACATAAACCAACCCACAGTAGCTCTTGGAAACAGTCCCATCAGTGAAATATTTAGAATTGTTGAAGAACAATAAGCTAAGAAGGGTAATTTCAGAGCTAAGTCTCCAGACAATGCTGTCGGCTCACTCAGACCGGGATACCCTGGCACTGAAGAGGCCTAACCATTGATGCCCAAGCGGGTCTGGCCATGGTAAATATCTGCCATGTTACTTATTAAATTCTAATTTTCATTGTCACTGGAGGGAAACAAACAACTCTCTCTCCAGCCTTGGCACAGCTGCCTTCTGCCTCAGTGTCTCAAAAAAAACATTGGGGATGCAGCGACACCGTGCCAATGATACGGGTAGTTGATCTATTTGCCAGGTCAAAACAGAGACAAAATAGGAAAAGAACTGGGTGAAATTAATTTTCTTTATGGACTACATGGATCCACATATTCATTTTTGTAGTTGTATTTTATTGTTTTATTGGGTCTTTCTAAGTGTAATTTGTATTTGGGAATAGGGTCGAAACTGTGCATTTTATCTCTTGTAGTGGTGTCGATCTAAAATGTGTGCTTATTTCTTGAGCATTATGGTAAATTACAGATAAATTACAATTTGAACTGGCAAACCCCTGGGAGATTCCCAGTTCTCTACAGACCCACACGAGAGCCCCTAAAGCTCAAGCCAAGACATGCAACTTTCCCCTCCAAGGAGATCTTTGGGCACAGTCCTTTTTCCTTAAGAAATCCCCCCAGAATGAGAGCCATGAAACAGAAATATCAGGACCCCTGCAGTTCAGGGCCCTGGACAGCCAGGCTGGGTCCAGGCTCCCAGGGGGGTGTCCCCAGAGCTCTGCAGAGAGTGACTCTCCCCTCCCTGCTCCACGATGTGGGCACACCTCTGCCTACACAACCCTCAGAATCACACTGGCCTTTGCTGCTGCTTTGTCACATGGCAAACTCCTGGGTCGATTGCTCCCACTCATGGCTTCTTGTCAGTCTCCCTCACTCACTTGTGTGGTCCGTGTTTGCCCTCCCATATGGTCTCTGCATGGCAAATTATTCTCACCCCCACCTACCCAGCTTTGCCATCTCTCCAACCCCAACACCTTCCCCCTTTCAAACAGTTAGTCCAGCCTTTCCTGAACCTTTGAATCATAGAATCATAGAAATCAGGCACCTCAGAAGGTCATCTAGTCCAACCCCTTGCTCAAAGCAGGACCAATCCCCAACTACTATAGGGATTATCTGCCCTTATGGCCTTCCCCAACCCCCGCTGGCTTTTCCAACTCTGGGGCCTTTCTCCCCAAGGGCTCCCAGAGCCATTCCCCATCACCGGCAGGGCTGGTCTGTTTCCCTCCAGCTCAGACAATGCCCCAGGGCTTTCATGAACACTTGAACTGAGACACCTGGGCTGGTTGTTTCAGTCAGTAACAAACACATGGGATGTTCTGGCTGCTGGCTGCATTTGTTCACTGCCCTCTAGGACAGGTCCAGGGCTTGGGTTGTGATCAGAGCCCAAGGGCAGGAGTTGGATGGCTCCAGGGTGCAATAGAACTGAGGGGGACGAGAGAGAACAGGACAGCAAAGTGTTGGGGAACCAGGGGTTCTCCCCGAGACAGAGATTCAGGCACCACAACAGGGAGCTACAGCATCACAGACATTCCCAGGGAAGTGGGGGTAGGATCCAGGCACCCGCTGGAAAGCAAACACCTGGGATGGAGTCTGGCCAGGGGCTCTGAGAGCCCTGCAGCTGCTCTATGCCCATGGGAAATGTCATAGAATCATAGAATATCAGGGTTGGAAGGGACCTCAGGAGGTCATCTAGTCCAACCCCCTGCTCAAAAGCAGGACCCATCCCCAATTAAATCATCCCAGCCAGGGCTTTGTCAAGCCTGACCTTAAAAACTTCTAAGGAAGGAGATTCCACCACCTCCCTAGGCAACGCATTCCAGTGTTTCACCACCCTCCTAGTGAAAAAGTTTTTCCTAATATCCAACCTAAACCTCCCCCACTGCAACTTCTGGTCATAATTCTGCCCTGGAGTTACTGGATTCCTCACTGAGCTGGGCACAGAGCAGGTAGGACAGATGCTGGAGATGCTGCTGGGGAGAAGGAGACGGGCTGCTCCCCCTCTGGAAATGTCCCTCTATCCATCATCTCTAGCTGTGGGTGTCCTCTGGGGATCACACCCAGCCAGGGCTCCTGGATTCTGCCTCTGAGGATGTTTCTCTCCTGCCCCCATTAAACCACTTGTAGAGGGGAAGGGAAGACCCAAGGATAGAGCCCAGAGGCCGTCAAAGCTGCAAGAGCAAAGACACAGATGTGCCTACACTCCATCTTCCAAAACTGGATGGGCAGAGAAATTAGTGAAAGGACGGAATATGGGGTAATGAGTGATTCCTGCAGAGGGAGACAACTCACCCAGTCTGGGACACTTGGCCTCTCTCCCTCCCAGAGCTCAAGAACCAATGAAATTCCCAGGCTGCTCAGGAAAATGAAATTTGCCAGAAAAGTTTTATTTACATCTTATTTGGGGAAAAAAACACATGATTGAGCAATACTGAGAAAATAATTCAATGAACAATAAACAATCCACTGACATCCAACTTTCCAGAAATATCAGATCTCTGCTCTTCCCCACCATGCAGAAACAGGGAGAAAATGCCTCCCGGGGCAGCAATTTACAGAATAATCCCAGTGTGCAACAATGTGAACTGAGCCCCTGCCTGAAATAGGGATCGGGAAATCCAGGTAAACTCTTTGGCTCAGTAAAAGCCTCCTCATGACAGAGGGAGCTGGGATGGGATGGGAGAGTGTCAGAGAATAATGCAATACAGTAATAATAATAATAATGTCACTCTCCTTGTGCCTCCATCCTCCTGAGACACACAGCACACATGTAAATAGTGGTGCCACTTGACTCCCTAGGGCATTGGGAGTTTATTATCCTCATGGTTCTTCCTATCTCTACAGATGCAGAGAGAGGAGGGGAAGTGGCTGGCACTATTCTGTGTGGTGTTTCATGTGACATGTTAGAGAGTTCCTGGTTTTGTACCTTTCCCCACAGACGGAACATTGATAGGGGCACTCTCCTGTGTGCCTTCTCCAATGGACTTTGAAACCAGATTTACTTTTGAAGCTTTCCCCACAGCCAGGGCAGGTATAGGGTCTCTCTCCTGTGTGGATTCCCCGATGGTCAGTAAGGTGATGGCTGTGACTGAAGCTTTTCCCGCAGTCGGGGCAGTTGTAGGGTTTCTCTCCTGTGTGGATTCTCTGATGTATAATAAGGTCAGAGGTGGAAGCGAACTTTTTTCCACACTCTGGGCATCCATAGGGTCTCTCGCCCGTGTGAGTCCTCCGATGTCTAGTGACATGCCCTCTCTGAGTGAAGGTTTGTCCACAGTCAGGACATTTATGGCATTTCTCTCCTGTGTGGACTGTCTGATGTGTAATAAGGCCTGACCTCTGACTGAAGCATTTTTTGCAGTTGGGGCACTTATAGGGTCTCTCTCCTGTATGGGTTCTCTGATGTCTAATAAGGATTGATTGGTCATTGAATTGTTTCCCACACTCAGGGCAGTGATAGGGGGTCTCTCCCGTGTGGACTCTCAAATGTCTAACAAGGTGTTCTTTACAACTAAAGCGTTTCCTGCACTCAGCACATTCAAATCGCTTCTCCTTAGTGCAGGTTCTCGGCTGGATCATGGCCTCATTAGGTTCTTCCAAAACTCCCCCTTGGCAAGTGGATTCACCCAGTGTCTTCCCTAGGGAGCTTCCCTGCTGCTTCTCTGGTCTGCACTGTGTTTCTTGGGCTTGTCCTTGCACAGGAATCTGAGAATCATCCCCTTCACACCTTCCCAGTAACATCCCCTTTGGTTCCATTTGCTCAGGACCTGCTGGACAAGGATTCTCTTCACTGCTCTCACTCACCATCTCATCACCTGTTGAGACAGAGAGAGAGAATCCGCACAGGAGTCAGTCCCTGTGCCAGGAGAAAGGGAAGGTGAGAAAAGGGGAACAGGAAAGTGGGGAAACAATCCAAAATAACTACTGGGAAGACAGACAAATCAGGTGTTGAATCCCACACAAACCCTTCCCTGGAAGAAAGAGAGAAGGGAAAAATCAGCTACCAACCTTTACTGTATTTGCTGTTTTTCAAGATGTTGCGCATGTCTATTTCACTTCACGTCTATTCCCTTTAGGGGTGTGCATAACACTGTATTCAGAGAGTTTACGGTAGTGGTATATGCGCCATGCATGTCTTCATACATCCAGCTGAGGGAATGAAGGGCAGATATGCCCAGGGCATCATCTCAGTTCATTTGCACCAGCATCCTAACATAATGGACTCTGAAGCAGAAGGGAGGAGGGCGGGTGGAGGAAAAGACATGTGCAACTCGTCCTGGAAAACAACCAGTACCGGTTGTGACGCTATATGGATTATGGGTGACCACTTATAATATTATCGATACCAGTATTACAAAATTGCAACGAATCATTTATCAGATACGCCATATAAGGTCCATGTAAGTTATCAGTGGAAAAGTTATGATTTGCTAAATATGATAAGCTTGTTTCCATGTATGTCTCATCTTTGCATCGTGAGTTATAAATACATGTGGTATAGTGATAGCTCAACTTGTGCTGTGTATCTAGGTGACACGCCCAGACAGACTGGTATCAGCACTATTCAGCCTGCTTACTGGACTATCAAGGGCAATCAGCTGTACTATGGACCCATTGAGAGAAGGCAGGGGCTACACCTATGAGTCAGCAGGACATGTAGGGACATGCCTATGGACAGGGGACTCCAAGTACCTTTCCATGCCCACGTGCTTTGAGTTTGTGTTTAGGACAAAAGATGTAAAAGCCACATGGCAGAGAATAGAAAAAGGCAGCTGCATCACCTCCATTTTGTCTTCAGTCCTGCTCCTCACCTCTGGAGTAACTTCTCTACAAAATAAAGTTTTGACTGATAGACTCATTCAGGTTTTAGATGTGTTCCAGAGGAACTTTTGAGCCAGTAAACGCACCAGTGTTGCTAGGACCCTAACGTGTGGCATCAGAAGTCATATAGTATCTCTTTGTATTGACCATTTAACAACTCTCTTATTGTTCTTTTCTTTTCTAATAAATCTTTAGTTTTAGATACTAAAGGATTGGCTGGCAGCATGGTATTTTGGGTAAGATCCAAAGTAGTATTGATCTGGTAACGTGGCTGGCCCTTAGGGAATCAGAAGAACATTTTTTATAGTGAATAGAGTTTTAAGTAACTTCTCACTTTACAGGACTTTGCTGACTGGGAGCCAGAGACTGGACTGGCTGAAAAGGGGCTGTGTGATGGCTGCTTTTTTTTTTAAATCTTCTTGATAACTAGTGTGGGGGATCAGGAGCACAGTTTGTGACTGGTTGGTGAATCTACCTACAGTATGTTAACCACTAGTTTGGGGAGAATCTACTCTCTTCTTTGCAGCCTGCCCTGACTTTGGCATTTTCAGTGTGGGCTGCCCTAGGCACCCCGGGTCACATGGGTATCTAAGTTTTTTTTATCTTTCAGTGATTCCATGTGTCTATTCCACTTCAGGTGACCTCCAAGCAGTGTTCTGTGGAGGAGGGTTCAGAGTCTATCTGCAAAGCCACTGCAGACCAGCCTTTCCAAAGCTAGCACAGTCTCTGGAAGTGGCTGAAGTGGCACAGTGCTTGGGAACAGTGTGAATTGAAGACCAGGTCACTACCCTGCAGATATCTGGGATCGAAATATGCTTTAAAAAAGCTGCCGAACATTCAGTCAGTTGGAAGGTAGTTTTAACTTTGCAACATCATAACTTGTAGTGATATGAGAGGTGATCCATCAAGAAATGCACCATAAGAGAACCTCCTGCCCTTTCATTCTCTTCACGCAGGAAACAAAGAATTGAGGCAAAGACTGAAACTGTTTTGTCCTGTCCAGATAAAAGGCAAGGGCATAGCAGACATCCAGCAAATGCTGTTTTTCCTCAAGCTTACATGAATGTGGCTTGGGGGAAAAGGGAGGTAAAAAGATGGTTTGGTTGAGATAGAAATCGGTAACCACCTTCGATAAAGAATGTTGGATGAGGCCTTAAAGCAACTTTATCCTCATAAAAATAGTGGAAAGAGAGGTGGGGGAAGGGGTATGAAATTCATGCTTGTGGTTTCCAAACCCTTCTAGTGGAAGCAACTGCCACTGGAAAGGCGACCGTAACTGATAAATTAGGCAGGCCACTCGTCTGGTATTAAACCAAACAGTCCTGTTTTTCTCGGGTGTGTTCTCATCCAGTACTCAGCCAAAACTGGTTTTGTCCAGTACCAGATGGGGGATGCCATTCTGAAGAGGGTGTTGTTCTGCCCCTGACAGCATGACCTTAGACATAAGGTCATGCTGGTGGGGGCGGGGCGGCGGGCTCTTAAAAATTCCACCCCCCATGTGGCGTGAGCTCACACACACCATGCATGAAAAGATACTCTGGTGGGCATGGGGTCATGTCAGCAGGGACAGGCTCATGATGTTTTGGGACGTACCGGAACGTCCCATATTCTGGAAGCACGCGAGTGGCCACCCTAAGATTAAGTACTGAAGAGGACAAAAAGCCATCGGCTCAAAGGGAGAATCCCTGGAAGAGACCATACTAAATTCTACTCTTAGGGTGTGTTGGCTTCACAACTTGAGAAAAGACTTGTGAAAGAAATAACTAATCTTATCTACAGAGCATGTCTTCACAGCACAGCTAGTTTGAGGTATAACGTGAGTCTTACCCTGAACTCAACTCCCACCCACACAGAACTCCTTTGAAAACAGTCTGGAGAAGCCAGCCTAGAGACTGGAGGGATGCTGCATGGGTTCTAGTTCAGCTATTGCATGTACCCGTATGATACGGGGTTCATCTGCAAGATCATGGAGATCTATGTCTAGATCTACCATTGTGGTATCATCTCCATCGAATGCTCTATTTTGTCACTGAAGAATGTAATGGAGAGAATCTAGATCTCCCTCTAAAGTAAGAAGTATAAGGTTCTTCTTCTGAATCCAATGATTAATATGGGCAGTCAGTTGCCACCAGTGGTGTGATACTAGGAGGAATCACTGGAGTACAGCCTCTGGAGCTGTGCCTGTCGGCAGAAGGTTTAAATGTCAATACTGATGACTTGAGTCCTATCAGAACCATCTGTGTACAAGAAACCAATACTGGAGGCTTCAAAGGTACAGAGGACCCCATGGCTGATGGTATCGGTCCTACAGACATTCTAGCCAGTGCTGAGGGCAGCTCTGGCTGTAATAAAGGCTGTAGCCTATGAGTAGTCAGAGTTGGGTCTTGTAGCAGCCAAGGGGAATCCGGGACCAACAGAGCAAATCTCATGACATCTCAATAATATTTTGGCAGAAGTTCATGATTCTAATAAATTGTCAGAGCCATTCTCAAGGATACCTGCACTGGTCCTGGAGTCAATGGCTGTATTTCCTGCCCTGATTTCACTGTTGGTACTGGGGAGCACCTAGTCTCTACTTGTGCTGTAACCTGACAGTTCCCATGAGGACTCTGCTGAGGCTTTTCAGTTCCCAGAGTCTGATTCTGAAGAAGAAAAGCTCGTTGATTTATAAGTCTTACCCTGAGACTAACTTACAGCTCTTACAAGACATGGTGGGAGAAGGGGAACAATTCCTCTTCTCTTGTGTCTGTCTGACTTCAAGCCATGAGGTGAGTGAGAAAGATCCACAGGAGAACTCCTGTCCTAGGACAAAGCACTGGACTCCAGACAACTGAGGTCTGAGAAGGGATGCACAGCACGCTCCATATGGTAATATTTTACTCTTATGTCCCTAGATTTTTGTGTTCTCCTCTTGAAAGATCTACAAATAGAGCACATGTCTTTCATTTGCCCCTCAGTGAGGCAAAATAAACAATGAGTGTGAGGGTCGTTCAGTGGATCAGACACCCTGCAAGTGAGACAGTGCTGAACTCCAGGAGACTTTGGCATAACCAAGCCCTCTGGTACCAAGTAAAAGAGCCCCAGAGAAAAACAAGAACAAAAGCTTCATAAAATAAGAAATAAACAAATATCTGGTGGGAAAAACATGGCTAAAGAAGAAGCTACTAGAACTATTTATATGGAGAAAAGGTTTACTCAGAAGAAAAAAAGGGAATCCATGAACAACAGCTAATGGAGAGCTCCGACCACCAGACACTGGTGGTGAGAAGGAGCTGTGAGGCTGCTGGGGTGGATACATGAGGACATGCATGGCAAACTGACAGGTACCACCAGGGAAAGCTCTCTGGCTACAGATCACTAAGCATTCACACACCTGGAAGGAGAACACCCAATTCTTCCTCCACATCCCATCTGAACACTCAGGGGGCAGGGAGCTACTGCCAGGTGTCAGTCAGGATGCGTGGAAAGCCATGAACTACATCTGCCAGGAGGACACGACACCTGCTAGGCACAATCCTGACCTGGGGGCAATAAGTTAGAACTGGAGGAGCTCAAGGGGCCTGCGTGGGAATCTCAGCACTTTAAGTCAATGAGGGATGGTTTCCACATGCGTTTAACCAATCTCTCACCTCTGGGAATGTTTCTCTGGATCTCTCTAGCCTGGGACCCCTGGAGATCAGGGACCCACAGCTCTTCCCCTCGGTCCAGCTGGGAGATCACGCTGGGCTTGGGAATTGGAAAATCTGCTCCTGGGAAAAGAAATTAAATGAGATTAGAGTTTTACTGTTGTTCTGAGACAGCTGTTTCCAGATGTGCTGTGTAGGTGGATGCCCTTGTATACAGCAAAGGGATGGGAAAGTGTTCCTCGAGACCCTTTGGGGAGGGCAGAAGGGGATTCAAGGATCTCCACACACTGGGGGATTTTATGACTCTGGCACAGCATCACTGTGCAACCTGTTTACACTTTCCTAACCCTGCTGAGCCTGGGACTAAGGAGCTGATCCCTCTGAAACCTGAGCAGAAGGCAACCTGGGCACTTCAAAGATGCCCAGTTTCTAACACCAAAGGCACAGGAATCCTTACCCAGTGAGGTCATATTCCTGTAATTCTCCTGCATGATGTCCCCATACAGAGCTCTCTGACCCAGGTCCAACAGTGCCCATTCCCCCTCAGAGAAATACACAGCCACCTCCTCGAAGGTCACGGGCATCTGTATCAACAACAAGAGTCCCCCACTCAGAACCTGCTGCCCCAGCCACCGCCCCCCAGGTTCAGTTGCAGAAAGAGCTGGGAACATCCCCCTCGGCCACAGAGAGCAGGAACATTCCTCGGGGGGGATTTTGGAAAGATTAGATGAAAAGCATGCTGTTACTGTGGTGCAACAGCAATGACCAGAGCTACTGATTTTATCATGGATCTCACAGTGTTTATCTAGGATTTGAAAAATTTCTCACCATCGCACCATTCCTGGCAGTGAAATCGCACATTTTCCCTTTTTCAAAATGGCCACCTTCTCCCGTTGGGAGGAGGGCCGGAAGGTAAAATGCCCTTACTCAAGATGGCCACCACTGCCCTACCCTTTGGCATGTGGAAGGCAGGCTGCCCCTAGTGAAGGTGGCCACCAGCTCCCATTGTTTTCATAGCATCATAGAATCGTAGCACTAGAGGGGACCTCACAAGGTCATCTAGTCCATTCCCCTGCATCCAAATTAAATATCCATAGAATCATAGAATATTAGTGTTGGAAGAGACCTCAGGAGGTCATCTAGTCCAACCACCTGCTCAAAGCAGGACTAACACCAACTAAATCTCTTAAAAACCAGGCCTTAAAAATCTCTAAGGATGGAGATTCCACCCCCACTCCCCCAGGTAACCCATTCCAGTGCTTCTACTAGTGAAACAGTGTTTCCTAATATCATAGAATCATAGAATATCAGGGTTGGAAGGAACCTCAGAAGGTCATCTAGTCCAACCCCCTGCTCAAAGCAGGACCAATCCCCAACTAAATCATCCAAGCCAGGGCTTTGTCAAGACTGACCTTAAAAACCTCCAACCTAGACCACCCCCACTGCAACTTGAGACCATTGCTTCTTGTTCTGTCATCTGCCACCACTGAGAACAGCCTAGCTCCATCCTCTTTGGAACCCCCTTCAGGTAGTTGAAAGCTGCTATCAAATCCCCCCTCACTCTTCTCTTCTCCAGACTAAATAACCCCAGTTCCCTCAGCCTCTACTCATAAGTCATGTGCCCCAGCCCCCTAATCATTTTCATTGCCCTCCACTGGACTCTCTCCAATTTGTTCACATCCCTTCTGTAGTGGGGGGACCAAAACTGGACACAATACTCCAGGTGTGGCCTCACCAGTGCCGAATAGAGGGGAATAATCACTTCCCTCAATCTGCTGGCAATGCTCCTACTAATACAGCCCAATATGCCATTGGCCTTCTTGGCAACAAGGGCACAGTACTGACTCATATCCAGCTTCTTATCCACTGTAATCCCCAGGTCTTTTTCTGCAGAACTGCTGCTTAGCCAGTCTGTCCCCAACCTGTAGTGGTGCATGGCATTCTTCCTTCCTAAGTGCAGAACTCTGCACTTGTCCTTGTTGAACCTCATCAGATTTCTTTTGGCCCAATCCTCCAATTTGTCTAGGTCACTCTGGACCCTATCATAGAATATCAGGTTTGGAAGGGACCTCAGGAGGTCCCCTAGTCCAACCTCCTGCTCAAAGCAGGACCAGACCAAGTACCGTCCCTTATTTTTGCCCCAGATCCGTAAATGGCCCCCTCAAGGATTGAACTCACAACTCTGGCTGCACCTAGTGAAGGTGGCAACCCGCTCCCATTGTTTTCAGGGAGGCTGAAGCCAGGCTTTCTTGGGGAGACGTGATTGGGGCTCTGCGGTTGGCAGACTGTGTACATAGCTATGAGAAACAATTGGAATGTGTGGTGCTAGAGGTGGGGACAGGAAGAAGCAGGTGGATGGAGTGTGTGTGGGAGTGAGCTGGGCAGACTGGGAAGGTCACAGGGGGCATGTGTGGAGGGGCAGGATGCAGAGGAGGATCCTTAGTAATGCATGTTGGGGCTGGTAAACTGAGGAGGGATGCGGGGGACAACAGGGAGTCAGTCTGAGGGGGGAAAAGGGAGATATGTGGGATAGAATGAAAAGGGTGCTGGTGGATGTGTATGTGGGGAGAGGAGCTTAACCAAGGACTGTGCAGGGTCATGGCGGGGGGGGCGGGGGGCAGGCTGAGGAGGACACAGAGGGATGCACATTGGGGGAGGTATGACTAACTGGGAATTTTCTGTAATATTTTCATGACTCCCCTGTGCGTGCCTCAGTTTCCCTCTCTGCTTTACATTGCTATCCAGTGGGTGCAGGAGGGTTAACGCTGTTCCTGGAGCAGCAGAGAAGACATGCGGGGCCAGAGAGGGGGTTCAACCTCGCTGTCTAGGGTGGAATGACTGATCACTAAAGGGCTGGCTGGAAACCAACCCCCAGATCAATGGAGAATCCAAAAAGACAGTGGGAGCCCCCGGGGCTGGGACACTCACCCCGGCAACCAATGACCCAGAGGAAGGGGATTTCCCCCCATGGCTGGGATGGGAAGCTGAGCCGAGGCCCCAGAAAGAGAACAAAGGGGAAAGGTGTCAGGTGGCCGTGTTAGGTGCTGCCTTCTGGAGACACAGAGCTCTCGCCTTGGACTGACAGAGAGTATGTCTACACAGCAAACAGAAACCCACTACTTGCCTGTGCCAGCTGATTTAAGCTCACGGGGCTTTGGCTAAGGGTCTGTTTCATTGCTGTGTAGATTTCTAGGATCGGGCTGGAGCCCCAGCTCTGGGACTCTCCCACCTCACAGAGTCCTAGAGCCCAGGCTCAAGCCCAGATGTCTACACAGCAATGAAACTGCTCGACAGCCCAAGGCCCATGAGCCCGAGTCAGCTGGCATGGGCCAGCTGCGGGTGTCTAGTTGCTGCATAGACACATCCAAAGAAAAAGAGCCAGTAATGGAATGCATCACAGCTTGGCTGGCTGGCTGACTGCACTGGCTTGGCCAAGATGGGCTATGGCTTAACCTTTGGTTCTCTTTGCTAACCTTGTGGGCTTCCCTATGCTGGGTCCTAGCGGGCTAATAAACCCTGCTCTGTTTGGAAAAGGCTGCCGGGTGTCACTGCAAATCCTGGCTGAGGTGCCTTGGGCCCTGCAGAGTGGGCAGGTTTCTGCCCAGGAGTCTGGCTCCTTTGGACTCACTGGGCAGAGCTCATGGCTGGAGCCCAGACACTTGTTCTTGGAGGCACTGAGGCCATTACAAAAGGGTGGGACCTCTTGGTGGTCTGGGCTACTGAGCGGGGGCAGGAGGCAGACAAAGGAGGTCACAGGGGAATGTGTTTGTGAAGGGGTGGGGGCAGACCAAGGATTGGACAGGAGGATGCATGGGGGATGAGTGGGAGGTGAAGAGGCAGACTGAGCCTTGATGGTGCACAGGGATGTGTGTGTTGTGGGGGACTGGCAGGAGGTAGCTGGAAGAGGCCTCAGGGAGATGTGTGTGTGCGGGGGTGGGATAATCAGCAGGAGACAGGGAGGAGTGGTAAATATGCTGGAGGGTAGGGACAGGATACAGAGGGATACAAAGGAACCTAGACAAATTAGAGGATTGGGCCAAAAGAAATCTGATGAGGTTCAACAAGGACAAGTGCAGAGGCCTGCACTTAGGAAGGAAGAATCCCATTCATTGCTACAGACTAGGGACTGAGTGGCTAGGCAGCAGTACTGCAGAAAAGGACCTAGTGGTTACAGCGGACAAGAAGCTGGATATGAGTCAACAGTGTGCCCTTGTTGCCAAGAAGGCCAATGGCATTTTGGGATGTATAAAGAGGGACACTGCCAGCAGATCAAGGAATGTGATCATTCCCCTCTATTCAGCATTGGTGAGGCCTCATCTGGAGTACTGCGTCCAGTTTTGGGCCCCACACTACAAGAAGGATGTGGAAATATTGGAAAGAGTCCAAGGGAGGGCAACAAAAATGGTTAGAGGGCTGGAGCACGTGACTTATGAGGAAAGGCCCAGGGAACGGGGATTATTTAGTCTGCAGAAGAGAAGAATGAGGGGGGATTTGATAGCTGCTTTCAACTACCTGAAAGGGGGTTCCAAAGAGGGTGGATCTAGATTGTTCTCAGTGGTACCAGATGACAGAACAAGGAGCAATGGTCTCAAGTGGCAGTGGGGAAGGTTTAGGTAGGATAGTAGGAAAAACTTTTTCACTAGGAGGGTGGTGAAGCACTGGAATGGGTTACCTAGGGAGGTGGTGGAATCTCCTTCCTTAGAGGTTTTTAAGGTCAGGCTTGACAAAGCCCTGGCTGGGATGATTTATTTGGGGATTGGTCCTGCTTTGAGCAGGGGGTTGGACTAGATGACCTTCTGGGGTCCCTTCCAACCCTGATATTCTATGATATGGGAGGCAAAATGAAGAGGATGCAGGGGAATTTACTTGTTGGGGGAGGTGGGTAGCAAGCTGAGGAAGGTGCTGCGGGCGTAGAGGTTCAGAGACACACTGGGGAAGAGAGGGAATAGGCAGCAGGTGGAATTGCTCAGTGGTTTGAGCATTGGCCTGCTAAACCCAGGGTTGTGAGCTCAATCCTTGAGTGGGTCATTTGGGATCTGGGCCAAAAATTGGGGATTGGTCCTGCTTTGAGCAAGGGGTTGGACTAGATGACCTCCTGAGGCCCTTCCAACCCTGGT